AGGTAGTCGCCGAATTCCTTGCCCGTCTTCTGGATGACAGCCACGGAATCGCCCTCATTCCAGCCGGTCAGGTACAGAAAGTTGGACTCTTGGCGATAGGGGAAGAAGACGGCACCGGAGCGGTACTTGAGGTCGGCGGCAGACAGGACGGCAACGCCACCGTCGGGCAGCTTCTCAGCCAGGCGAGCACGTCTCTCCCAATATTCCTGGGCTGTGATACCCGGAGTGACTAAACATATAAGTCAGCCCAAGATCATTTTATTCGGGATCTTTACTGAGAGTTTGAGGGCAAATTATTGAATGCTATGGGCAGTGATTGGGTGAAGATTGTACTGACTCTCGCCGGCTTTGAGAATGTGAGGATGCGTCTCATGCACTGGCTGGCCAAACTGGAGATCGGCAGCAGAGACGGCAGCGTAGCGGCGGATCTGACGACTCGATGGGAGTGACGGGCGCCACAAGGGCACGGAATTGCAGCATCGCAGTCTCTGGGCGGCCCGAAGAGCGCTGCTCACTGGACGTGAGGGGTTCATGACCAGAAATGGAGCGATGTGCAGGGGATGTAGGGCGGCAGGTGAGATTTATGAACGAGAAGGGATGGGTTCTACGATCCGGATGAGGTCATCACGGAAGGCAGTGGAGGTAACTGCAATCGTCTGCACTGTACCGGACGGAGCGAGGATGGGCTAAGGGCCAAAGGCTACTGCTGGCTGACTCGTCAAAGAGTGATTAGTTCTGCGCATGCGGCCTTTCCGCAAGGACTGAGACCGAGACGGGACGGGTGAGAGATGCCCGTTTGGGAATCGGGCCACCAGGACGAGGAGCGGACGATGGGATGATGCAGAGATTTGTTTGTTTGGAGTGGATGTTTTTTATGTATCTAAGGAGTGGAAGAAGACAATGGAGTTGCATGGCGTTTATTGCCGTGGACATTAGTGTCGTACATATGTAACTAAGGCAAGTAAATGCAGCAGCATGCAGCAATACAGCATGCAATGTGAAAGTGCCATGTCGAAAGAAACTGGATGCATCCATGTCTTGCCAATTGGGCGGCCCCCCAGTTGCGGCAGGATTTTTTATTGTTTTCCCACTGCAGCTCCATCCGTCCAATTTCCAGGCCGCCGCCGGATCAGGTCGCTACCAGTTGTTATTGTGGTGCTAGAATGCCAGATTACAGCGAGCCTCCACTGTAGCACAGCAGCCATGAACCTACCTAAAGTACCTAGGTAACCTAAGTGTGAAGAGTCACTGAGAGAAGACGCGCCGCTGCGGGTACTGTGCAGGCAGGGCCAAGCAAATTTGACCGGTTGCCAGAGAAGAAACTGGCCCGTGCGTGTTTTCCACGCTGCCGAACGGGGATTAGTGCTGTTATTCCCCCCCCCCCGAAAACCCATCAAGCGCGACTTAGGTGACCGGGTCCCGGACAGGCCAGGCACAGGCAGTGAGTAAACCAAGACGGGGGTGGTCTTGCTTATGGGCTGGGATGATGGCCGGGGACTCCTCCCACACACGCACCGCACACACACACACACACAACACCAACCACTCCTCCTCCTACCTACCTACCTCCATATTAATAAAGCTCTGCCTTGAACCTGCCCACTCGCACACCCGTGTTCTGGCTGCTTCTTTTTGGCTTCACGACGAACCTCCACGACGACCTCCTCCCCTTCTCGCATCTCCCTCCCTCCTCACGGCCGCCCAGCGCATTCGATGTCTTCGTGAACCCACGACACGCTCTCTGTCGGAACGCGTGAGCGACGTGTCAGCCTCCACGTCGCGTGCCCATCTCGTCCCGTCCCGTCCACAGAGCAACCCCCCGCCTCGCTCTCGACCGACATACAAACCCACACCACCACACAAACAAAACAACAACCTTTCCTTTCCCACGTCGAGCATATTGATTGGGCATTTTTATGGCAGCCATATCCCTATCGCCCACTCCAATCCCTCTCACGGCCATGTCCACTAGACGAACGCCTTTGTCTAGCAACCCCAATGTGGCCAATTCGCCCTTGAGATCTGCTTCTGCTCTGGCTCTCGCCAAGCAGAGGCGTTCTCATGCCAACATCCAGAGAGAAGAGCTGTACGGCCAGCCGCCGCCTTTGAAGAAGCAGGTCGTCGAGAACACTGCATCCCGCCACCAACGCTCCCCGTCCAAGATCGCCAAGCCTTCACAACTGCCCCAGCGTGTCGCTCGCCCCGTAACGAAAGAACGCTCCACCCACCACCACGATGATGCGAACGTCGACAAGATCAGACAATGGCAGGCCGAATATCGCGGCCGCTTCCCCAAGATGGTCTTCTACTTCGACAGTGTTGCCGAGGACCAGAGGGCCAAGCTTTCCCGCCATGCCATGTCTCTTGGAGCTGTATGTCGCAGCACATGTGTTGAAAATACTTTTTGGTCACTAATATGTCATGTGTAGAGAGACGAACGCTTCTTCTCGAGCAGCATCACTCACGTCGTGACCGCCCGTCCAGTTCCTGCACAGGAGGAAGTGCACGCCCCCGCACACCAAGACCCCGAGCCCGAAGAGCAGCCACAGACCATCAACCCGTCTCTTCTAGACCGGGCCCCCGATGCACGAAGACGTTTATTGTTTGATCACCCGTCGAGACGGACTCACGCCCAGCCGCAGGATGACGGAGTCAGGCGTGCGCGTCCTACGCGCAGCAATGATGTCCTGCACAAGGCTCGTGACATGGGAAAGAAGATTTGGTCGGTCGAAAAATTCCAGAGGATGCTGCAGTTTCTGTTGGAGCCCGATCCGCACGTTGTCGCCCAAATTGGCCACAAGGGCGAGTCCAGGAGCTTGAGCACCAAGAGAACTGCAGACGAGCCAGGCCTGATGCAGTTGCTGCAAAAGGAGAGACTCAATGGTCCTTCTGACGCCGTCACGAGCCGGGAGATGATCAATTTCAAGGGACCGTATATATACGTCTACGACATTGACGAGAAGCAGAAGCCCATTATGGTGCGGGAGTACCCTAAGGTCAACAACAAGTACGACGGTGAATGGCCCCAGTTTAGGACTGTCACGGATGGCCGCTGCCCTTTCGTCGAGGAGCCGGAACAGGCTGAGCGACCGAGCCGTAAACCACAACCGCAGCAAAAGGAGCTGAAGGAGCCCAAGGGCGACAAAGAGCGCGTTACGAAGCCTGTGGACGAGGAGAGGGCGTCTCTTCAGCCCCCTGAAGTTCCTGCGCCCAAGACTGTCATTGGCAAGCGTACCCTCGCCGAGATGCAAGACGGCCAGAACAAAGACAAGGCCCCAGTGAAGCCCGTAGAGATGTTCAACCCGCCCAAGGTTGTTGCCTCTAATCCTATTGACTTCCGACCCCAGAATGCCTTCACCAGCCGTGCTGGTACGGCACGTTTCTTCGCCGGCGAGCCTGTGGCCTCGGGTCTTCAGCCGTCGAATGTTACTTCGGCCATTCGCTCTCAGATGATCTCTTCTACTTCGGGTGTCAATGGAGCAAAGGCCGGCACCAGCAAGGAAGTCCATGGTCTGCAGCGCAAGGTGCTGCAGAGAGGTGCCCCAGTGCCTCACGATCCCAGCTCTCGTCGACTGACTGAGATGAGCTTGGATGCCACGTCTACCAGATCTACCAGCGTTTCCAGGACCACCAGCAGACGGATGGAGCTCATTGAAGAGGATGCTGAGAAGCAAACTGCCAAGCTTGTTCGAACCAGCTCTAAAACTCAGGCGCCGCCTGCCAAAAGCAAGCGCGATTTGAAGCCAGGTTACTGTGAAAACTGCCAGGACAAATTTAAGGACTTCGACGAGGTGAGTTGATTGTAGCGCCCCGCAGTCTACGAAGTTTGCTAATCATGTGGCAGCATATTCTCACACGTAAACATCGAAAGTTTGCAGAAAACACCGACAACTGGCTCGAATTGGACGAACTACTTGGCCAGCTGGGCCGCATGCCCAAGGGCTATGGCGACTACAAGTACCGCGCCGAGGAAGTGTCGATCGAGGACTCATAGAAAGTGTCGACTCGACGAACTCGTTCCGCATCATGGCGCCCATGAGAACCGATTCTGCCTCACTCAAACATGATTTTTGATTCCCCGATTTCACGACGCTGTGATCCCAGGAGCATCACGCACGTTCGCACACACACACATACATACAAAAGCTACGGATTCGTTCCACACACTTGGAACCAATGATACCAGTAGACTGACCAGAAGAAGTCGCCCGCGCTTTCCGGTCATGTTTTTCTCTTCGTCTTTCTCTAATTGGTCGGGCCGCACTGAAAGCATCGCATGCACAATGGCGTTCGGCATGGAGCATTTTATACCACCACGGCTAAGTTTTCTCATTCGGCAGGCAGGTTGGGAGGCATTGTGTCGTCATCCAGAGGCGGGATGAGTACGGATGAAGAGGGCAAAGGCGAGTCATAATGAGCATGGTGTAGATATCATTGAACAGTCTATGATTGTGTATACTGTACGTTGAACACGAAACACTTATTGGTTTGGGAAGCCAAGCACTGCTGTGGTTGTGCTATGAGCCGCACAGTCATGGCAGAGGCGTTTTGGAGCAATTGAAAGCATTTCCCTTTATGTCCATCTGGAAGCGTTGTGAGATGAATGATGCGCAGCACACAACAAGAGCAGACGCTCGAGAATGGCAGACAGCTTCTACGTAGTTGGAAGGAAAGTACAACGTGAACAGTGTTCGGTCTGCTGCTGCTTGGATCGAATGGCTGGGGATACGAAGCGGGGAAAGCCAGCATACAAAACTAATGATACTACAGGCCGCTTATATGAGGCCGATGTAAACATTGAAGTCAGCAGCACCACACGCCGTCTCGAACACTACCTTAGGTTCCTTGAAAGAAAGCCCCGCACCGAACCGTGCCGCCCCTCCACACCTGTCCATTTTAGGACAGGCGCACGGATGCCCGCATGCCAGGGCGCTTCTTACGTGGGTCCGAGCACAGCAAAATCTTCATACTGATTAATATGGAGTGGCCATACCATCCAAGTCTTCGTGGCTCAGTCGGTAGAGCGTTGGTCTCATATTACTATCAATATGACTCCGCCAAAGGCAGAGATATCCAAAGGTCGAGAGTTCGAGCCTCTCCGAGGACAATCCTTTTGCCTTTTGCTCCCTTGGTTCGTGTGATCATGGCTTCTTTGTGAGTCACAATGATCTATGAAACGTTCTTCTTGACTGCAGTTGTTCCGTCGAGTCGCGTCAAGTACGTACAGGCCTGTTCGACCATTTTGAAGTCGCTTTCGTTCCCCTGCCAGAGAGCCTACTCATACTTGCAACATCGCGTCACTAATACTCGGAAACTTCCAAGAAGTCAACTGTAGGAAACCAAGGGTTGCTTGCTATGTTGACGTTTCGATCTCAGACACTTCTATTTCACATTGATGGAGAGGAATCTCGACATCTACAGCATATGCGAAACTTCCGTAACCATTCCTAGGATCCCACGGCCCATCCGGAGCGTCCCAATAACACCGTCATGGCTGCTGATGGGGGTGTCCATCCCGTTCTCTGGGCACTCTTCGGCGCTGTGACCGAGGCATCCCATCAGCGCTGGTGTTATGGAACCTTGACGAATCTCTTCGTACACCAAAGACACGTTTACACCGATCGTGCTGTCTTGCTTCGCTCTGAGGCCCTGATGGAAGGAAACTCCCAGTCTTCCGCGCACAATGTCGTACAGCACAGCCGAACCTGCTCCAAGTCCGTCCAAATGTGCTGTAGTCTTGTCGTTGTTCATCCCCGGGTGGTTAACCTTGGGATTATTGAATGGATCTAGAAGCCACATTTCCATGCTCTCTTGGAATTCCCTTTGGCAATCCAAGACGCCGCTGAGAGAGACGTCGTGCATCTTCTCTTTACCCATGAAGTCTAAAGTATGTGCTGCGAATTTGGAGGCCACCACCGAGCAACGCTGAAGATGACTGACCTTGTTCGCCTCGTACCACCAAACCCTTACCGATTCGTTGAGGCCACTCGTAAGTCTTGTGAGCTGTGATTCGTCCAGCCCGAGACGAGCACGGTCTAGACGTTTGGACAAGACAACAGAGCTGAGAAATCGCTCGTGGTAGTCTCTGAGCTCGATCGCTTGGCAGCATACATACAGATGAGCAGCGCACATGTGCGAAAGAACATCCACAGCCTCCATAGTTCGCCGACCTGTCAGGAAGGCAAGAGAGTTGATGCCTTGGTTGTGCATCTCGGCCGAATGAACATGAGCAGATACTGGGTGTGCGAGAGACGCCAGTTCCGACATGTAGGCACTCATGTTGACATCGATACCCTTCATCGTGTAAGATTGGTCGGGATCACCAAAGACAAGATTTGGGTCGAGGCCGTTATTCGTCGCCGGGTTGATCAACTCAGAGCACTGAGAGAAGAGCATTCGACCAATCATTTGGAGTGCGTTCCTTGTCTTGTCCATTGCGGATGTGATGGCAATTGCTTGAAAATTGCCTCCTGAATAGACCTCTCCGTCAGAAGAATCATTTCCAGGACCGACATCAATTACTGGGTTGTCCGACGTCGAGTTGAGCTCAACCTCGATTTGGCGCTGGGCCAGCATGAGGTCTTCCAGGTAAGGACCAATCCACTGCGGTGCTGTCCTTGTAGAGTACCGATCTTGCCAGAGACCTCGACCCGTCCTCTTCTTCGTCTCTAGTCCGATGACGAAATCAGAAGATCTCAAAAACTGTCTGATGTTGCAAGCTGTTTCGAGCTGACCAGCGTGGGGTCGAATTCTGTGGATGAATTCATTTGCCCACTCGACATTGCCTCTTAGACACTCTGAAGTAAAAGCTGTGAGAGCTTGGGCGAGAATCGCAAGCTGATTGGCCTCGTAAATGACCAAGCTGGCCAGAGCAGCTGAAGGAGCGGTCCCGTTGATCAAGCCAAGGCCCTCCTTTGGTTGCAATTCGACAGGCCTGATGCCGCATTCCTTCAATGCATCACGGGCGGACAAGTTCTTCCGGCTTACCCCGGATCCGATTCTTACCGTGATGTTGGGGTCTCCGATCAGAGTCCCGGCGATATATGAGAGAGGCATTAGGTCTCCCGATGCCGAGATCGTTCCTCTCAGAGGGACTAGAGGCGTGACGTCGTGACGGAGAAGTTCCAGCAACGTATCAATGACCTCTATCCGGACTGCGCTGTGGCCGCGTAGATTTTGGTTGGCCCTGATAACCATGGCTGCCTTCACCCATGCTAGGGGGATGATGTGAGACTTCCCGTCTTTGTCGGTTCGAGAATCGTCTCGATCGGCGGCAGTAATGACGGCACTTTGGGTGTGTTGGAGCAAAGATATCTGAAGTTTCTTGAGCTGCTCCGTCCGAGAGTCTGCGCTGCCGCCAAAGCCCGTGTTCACGCCATACACCACCCAGCCGTTTTCTATGTGATGGTCGAGAACTTTGATACTCTGGGCGATTCGCTGATCGATGTCCGAACTCCCGTGGTTGCGGTAAGCTCCATTGGCCGTCTCGTCTGCTTTGGTAGGCGGGTAGCCCTTTATGCACGGCACGAGTCCGTGACGGGCAACGGCAACGACTGTGGCGATGTCGAGTTGCTCACCATCTAATGCTAGTTCGGGGCCAGCTTTTGTCACATCGTGAACGGTCTTCAACGTTTTCTGCATGCTTGCAGCGTGCGGGGATTCCGAGGATGGTGTTGATGCCATAGCATGGATGCTACTGTGCAAGGACTAGATCTTTCGTCTGAGCAGCTCAAAGAAGGAGCGTAACCGAATTAGAGGGCGGTATCTCACGAGGAGGATCTGCGTAGGAGTCGACGGGTAGAGATAACAGAGAAGAGTACTTTGAGGAAAAGGCTGCTAGGAGGGCGATAGAGATGTTTGTTGAGGCAATAAGAAACAGTCAAAGGCGATCGTCCAAGTTGTCACTACTGCAGCTACCTCGTGGCTGCAGGAGTAATATGCATTGTGCCTACTTGACCTTACCTTACCGTACCCTAACCTACCTATCTTACCTCAGGTCTCACCGGCCACTGCCTCGCCGTTTCCTTCCCTTCGATGCCTATCAAGGTAAGGCAGCAAGCAGGAACGCCTTCCATGACTTGCGCATCTTCCACCTAAACCGGAGTGAGCTGTTGCGGCCGAAGATACGGTGAGGATATGAAGGAGAATATGTTTCAGCGCCACTCGGTGAGTCGACGAGATGCGGCATTCATTTCATGTCATGACGGTAATATTTCGCCTCACAAGCAGCCTAGATTTGTGTCAGGTCGAAGTTGTGGTGCAAAGGGGCTCAAATAACGGAGCCCAGGTACCTTGAACGTGGACGTTCTCCTGGACCCCGCTGTCCGCGCTCAGGTGAGGTACCTACCTAGGTAGGGATAGGTGAGGTGGATGTCGGATTAGGTCACCTCACTGACCGTTCACCGACTACAGCGACCTTACCTCCATTAAGGTAGGTAGGGGGTAGGTGGGGTTACTTACCTAAGGCACCTGGCGACGCCCCACACACACTGCCCGGGCACACCTGAAGTGTCTACCTAGGCATGTAGAGGTGGGTGACTTGCATGACCAACCTATGCGTTGACAAAAGCCAGCCTCTTTCAACGTGCATCCTCGTGTTCATCGCCGTTTCCTAACATCTTACTCCCCTGGCTTTGCTCGACCACAGCAAAGACCGACACGCAAGGAGGCTCCCAAATCCCAGGCACAAGGTTGATACAAGCACCGCATTACGCCACCTAGTTCACTGAAAATGGCGGACAGCCCTGCGTCTCCTGGTATTCCCAGGTCAGACTCGGCGTCACCAACCCCGGCCACAATTCCTGATCGCTCAGCCTCTCCGGAGATACCGCTCACCATGTCCGCTTCAGCAATTTTGACGGCTCAGCCGCGGGATGTTGCCTCAGCACTTGCCAGTGCTGGCGAGTACGCCTCAGAGAAGGTTGTTGTCAAGTTCAAGCCCGTGGGAAACGCTCCCGCTCTCCCTATGGCCGTAGCCAAGATATCCTCCACTCAGACCTTCTCCACCGTCATCTGGTACCTTCGCAAGCGATTGAAGCTCCGAGACGCTGAGAACATCTTTTGTTACGTCAATGACTCCTTTGCGCCCTCTCTCGACGAGATCGTCGGCAATCTACACAATGTACGTTGCTCGCGTCAACTTCACACATCGGAACTGTTGATGTTAATCGTGTAGCAGTGTTTCAAGGACTCAACAGGCCAGCTTGTGATTTCATACGCTATGAACCCAGCCTTTGGCTGACTACAACTATTCTATTAAATGGTATCAAATATTCAAGGGAAAAAAAAAGACGGCAAATGCCTCAGCCACCGAGCCCCAACACCGGTAATGCAGCCCGAACGCGATGCAATGCAAATGCTTCAACTGCTGACTGTTACAGCCTTCTACAACTTCTCTAGCGTACTGGAAAACGCCTCAAGCTCTTCCTTGGAGATTGGATAAGTATGTTCAGGGCCAGGGTATTGTCTGCTCTTCACGTCGTCGCGGTAGGCTTCGATGGCCTTCAGACTCTCGCCCCAAACATCGCCATACTTCTTGACAAACTTGGGCAAGAAACGGCCGGGAGGGAAGTTGCCTGTCATGTCGACCTGCACCAAGACTTGTCCAGAGCAGCCGTTGCCGGCACCGATGCCGATTGTTGGGATGACCAGCTTCTCTGTGACGAGCGCAGCAACCTCTGCAGGAACAGCTTCGAGGACAACTGCGAATGCGCCAGCTTCTTGCACGGCAAGTGCGTCTTCGAGCACCTTCATGGCGCCATCCGAAGTCTTGCCCTGGACTCTGAACCCCCCGAGGGCGTTTTGGCGCTGTGGTGTCAAACCAACATGAGCAAGTACGGGAATGCCAGCAGTGGTGATCTTCCGAATGGTAGGGGCCATCTCCTTTCCACCCTCGAGTTTGACACCCTGGACTCTGCCTTCCTTGATGAAGCGGATGGCAGTCTCCAGAGCCTGTTCAGGGGCAATTTCATAACTGCCCATGGGCAAATCGCCAACCTATGACTGGAATTAGTCTGATGTTCAAGTGTTTGATATCCAAGGGTCAACTCACGGTAAAAGCGGACTTGGTGGCTCTTGCGACAGAACGACAATGCAGTAACATCTCTT